ATGATCATTTTCCGTACCAAAAGTGATTTTGAGTAATATTGCAAAGCATCACCTAAAAGAATAATCAATGTGGGGTGTATACATGAAATAGCTTAGCAGGAACATTTTTGGCGGATCAGAGGCTCATTTGTAAGATGGCTACCACCTGCATTTGAAATTCACCTCTGCAAGATTCCTTCAAACTTTGGTGAGTACCTCCTAATCTGTTGCACTTACAATGTTTATGGTGAGTTGTAGGCTCTTGGATAGTCGAATGAGCCATAGGCCTATAAGTAGTGTATACACTATGTAGGGTAAGGCTTTGAGACACGGGATGCCTTAGTCACCCTGTTGTTCATTGATATGCCAGTACTGTATCTGGACTCATAAAGTGATATTTTGCGATTTTCATACATACAATTTGTATTTTTGTAGAAATGAATCTTCTCTTTCAACATATCAGGGTCTTATACGGGACATATAATTATATGCGTGTTTACTTTTAAGGATTGAAATCTAACAGACAATTTTTAGACGTGTAGTTTTTTTTAACTTGCATACAAAATAACAACCTATTTCCATTGAAAACACGTGAAATGTTAACTGCATCAAACACAAAAACAATTTTCAATATGCCCGTCGTCTCCATGGCAATGAAACTGTTTCTTAAGATCTATTACTTTGGGAGGTTTTGCTGTGAGTGTTTTACGGCGCTCACAACTGCATAAGGGCAAATGAGCGCGGGGACACATTCAACAGTTTCAGTTGGTTGGAAATTTTGAATTTTGCCCGGGTGACGGCAGAAGCCTAATCGTATCGATTTTTTACCACCAAGGGATCTTTAACATGCGCAACTTGCACACGGGACCTACTAGATTTTTCAGCCTTATCTGAAAATTCTGGGTGTAGATATTACAGGAGTGTGGCTGAAAGACAGTAGCAGTGTGAAGCTGCAGAAAGAGTCAAAAGCCGAGAGGAGAGGGGAAAGGAGGTGAGGCGGTGGGGGCAGAAAGTGAAGACGAAAGCGGACGACAACATTTTCCGTCGCTGCCCAGGTTTCGAACCCCGAACTTATTGAATGAGATCCGAACACCGTAGCATCTGGAACACAAGAGCCTCTTACTACTTTTTAAAAAAAGAATTCACACTATGCACACCGGTATGTGTGAAATGTGGTGACATTGGGTCCACAAATAAACGAGGTAACCAACAGCGCCCCCCCCCTCCCCTTTATGAAATGTCACCCTCAAAGTGTGTTTCGGGGGCTCTCGTGGCCTAGAGGTTAAAGTGTTCGCCTCTCGTTCAGTAGGTCCCGGGTTCGAATCCGGATAGCAACCGAACATTTTCTCCACTAAAACTTTCTTCCTTCCCATCTTTTCCTGCTGTCTTATTCAGGGTGCCCATTACGGATGGGATAGGCGGGTCGGGCTGATCGCCCGGCTCGTCGACTCAAAAACAAACGCGTTTGTTTTCAGGCGATCGGCCCGACCCGCTGTAATTGCCACCCAGTAAAACAATACTCTGTTGTTTGCTTTCGTCTCCACTTTCTGCCCCCACCCCTTCACCTCTTTCGCCCCCTCCTCTGGGCTCCTGGCTCTTTCGGCAGCCTTTCTCCTGATACTCCCTGGCTACTTCTTACTGCTGTCTTTCAGCCACACCCCTGATATTACGGTAGGAAAGAATACACCTAGCCTTCTCGTACAAGGGCGAAAATTCTCGGAGGTCCAATGTGCAAGGTGCGCACGTTAAAGATTCCTTGATGGTCCAAAATCAATAAGAGTATGCTTCGGCCGCCACCCGGACAAAATTCAAAATTCAACGTGTCCCGCGCGCTCATATGACCTTCTACAATTGCGAGCGCCGTAAAACACTTACCCAAGAAAAAGTGTGTTTCATCCTCTGGGTTTATCCGATGTAAAGTGATCTATGTCCGAGCAAAGGCTCACAAAAACAGTTGGGGTTGGTTTGTTTTGTTTTGGGGATGTTGTTTTTTGTGTGTTTTTTTTTGGGGGGGGTTGCTTGTTTTGTGTGTGTGTGGGGGGGGGGTGGACGTGTGTGTGTGTGTGTGTGTGTGTGTGTGTGTGTGTGTGTGTGTTTGTGCGTATTTGTGTATGATGTGGGTTTTTAGGGGCGGGGGGGGTGATTGAGGAGGGGTAGAGGGTGTAAATAAAGTACACTTCTTTCCTAATACATATATATTACAGTATTACATTCAAAACATCACTTAGAAGAATATATAGACAATATACACTCACCTTGAACTTTTTGTTCCCATTTGGCATTAGCGGAGGCTGAGGTCTTTTTCCCAACTTAAACATTTTGGGGACCTGGTTTTGGAAGAGAAAGTGAACGGAATTAATCATAAACGATGGTGGCCGCTGTGACCTATCATGTAGCCAACGTAATGGGGGCTTTTTAAATTTCTGTTTTAAGATTTGGAGTAACTAGTGCACTGTTTCTTTGTTCAATACATATATACGCTCGTACACACACACACACACACACACACACACACACACACACACACACACACACACACACACACACACACACACACACACACACACACACACACACACACACACACACGTTATGCCCAGCAAAGACTGTAAAAGATGGTCTTCCCTGAGGTCCATTCCTTGCATTATTATTCACACATTATAATTGAAGTGCACTCATCAATTTAGATTCTATGTAAAGTGTTGATGTGTTACACCAAATTATGTATTTGTCGAATCACATGTCATAATGTTTAGTTGTATGGGCCTGAGGCCTTTCAAATCAATAAATAATCTTGAGTCGAAAAAAAATCTTGGCTTTTAGATTAGGCCTATATTAGCCGTCCGACTTTTAGACCCGCAGGCTGAGACCACTTCGTGTATGGTGCTTTCGACCTCCACTACAGTCGAAACTTTTAGGCGATAGTTTTGACGTCTTTGGAATATATTTTAATACATAAATTTATGAATAATACACAATATCGTTTATTTATCACAAACATACACCATCCACACACCATTGCTGGTCGCCACTGCGCAGCGCGGAGTTTTTGTGTCTGGGTTATCTTGTGCTGTTCAAAGCCAACGACACGCCCCAGTGAACACACACCAAAACACTGTGTTATCGACATTCTATAGACTTCAACATAAGTTAAGGACCACCTTGACAGAGACAGACGGCCCTGATTATTTTTTTTAATCCGAAAAAAAAGACATCAAGGAATGTTTCAAAATTGTTTTGCTCTGAAAGTGTTACATGTAATGGGTTACAGTGCGTAGGCCTCTGCAAAGCTTCCTAAAGGGTCAAAACCACCACGTGCAGCACGGAAATCCTCGGGGAACTCTAGCCAAATTTGCTGTTATTTATCGACTTGTGTGCGAGCGAAATGCTCGCAGCTAAAGGGATTTGAAAACAACAACAACAACAACATCGACTTGTGTGCGACACCTCAGTTAAAATATTTGGTGCACGTCATAAACGGACGTATTGTCTCGAACTGTGTTCACTTTGGTGGCCATATAAGTCGCCGTTTGTGCAAAATTCAGTACGGCATCAACATGCCACCAAGACGAAAGCTGGGAGACTTTGCTCGTGCCAGAGCTATGGCATGGCTTCAGGATTGAGTTGGAGCCCGAGAAGATGCCAGCAGGCTTGCAATGTCACACTCTGTCATTGTCCGCTTGAGGCAGCGCCATCGAGCCACTGGATCAGTCCAAGAACGCCCACGTGCAGGTCGACCCAAGAAGACCCCTCAGAGTGTTTGCAAGTGGTCCTTAACTTAAATGTTGAAGTCTGTACTATGCTTGACGTTACTGTGAGACTGTATGTACTGTATTCAAAGATTCTCTTTTACCGTATTGGGAATTCCGCTTACTAAAAATTATCCGTGCAATATTGAACTTATAGAACAGACTACTGAACAGCGGACGCTCAAAAAATTAACGTGGGTGTTTTTACGCCCAAATTGACAAAATTTAGATAATTTATAAGGTAGGCTTCCAACCTGCCTGTCAGGGCCAACCTGGACTGAGACTACTGAGAGGGATACAATATCCCATATACTCGACAAAAAGTTCTTCCCACTAGGGATTCAAACTTTGGTCTCCTCCATGCGAACAACAACGTCGTGCATAGCTATACGTAGCCTACTACAAACGCCAAGGCAAACCAAATTCCGGTGAATTTTATAACTATAGGCCTACATAGCGATTGAAACCTACAAATTTCTTAAGCTCTAAATCATGAGAATCAAACTCCTTCATATTCTTGGCATGACCGTGACTTTTACATGACATGACATTACACCAAATATAATGATATTCGTTGGAGCGGGGGAGAGGGGGGGTCATTTAATTTGTAAACAGGTCAACGGACAGACGTAGGCTTACGACTTCAGATTTCTAAACTCCGTAATCCTTGCAATGAGTTATTTCATTGCTTGACTTCGAACAATGAAATGAAGCAAAGGTTATATATAAGCCTAGTCTACGATATTTCCTTCCTCAGAAAGGCCCCAAGATCTGGAAAGCTTTGCCAAGAACTTTAAGAGAGATCAAATGCTCTGATTCTTTCAAAGGTCAGCTGAAGTCAGTTTTGTTTTAAAATTAATAAGATGATATTAATTTTTTAAGTGGTTTTCTTTTGGCCAGAAGTCAGAACACAACGTCTTAGGTAACTTGTACATTGTATTGTATTGTAAAGCGCTCAGAGCCTGTGTTGAGCGCTATGTAAATCATGTCATTTTTTAAAATTAGTATTATTATTATTAAGCAAAAAAATGAACATTACAAAAGAGGTTGAAGAAAGGGGAGTAAAGGGTATGTAATTCGGGGGTAAGAGGGCGGGGGTAAAGCTGACACAGGGAAACAGGGGATCGAGGAAGAGGAAAGGGGGGGGGGGGCTGAAAAACCGAGAAAATAACCAATTGGGTGGCAGAGAAATCATTTTTATGATAAAACAATCTACAAACAAATTGTAATATGAGACGTAACGGAATTCCAAGACTGTTTATACTTACTGTGTTGAGATGACTTGGTGGACGCTAAAAAAAGAGAAATCTGGTACTTCAAAATTCGGAGTAGATCTAGATGAAAACATAAACGGTACACAGCAGTGAAGGGGAAGGTTTATATTGAGCTCTTCTAAACATGTAGATCTTGAATATCTAGGCCTAGTCTGCGATATTAGGTTCCAGAAAGCAAATCGTCCGCGCATTCTAATTCTTCAGTCCTGGGTCTCATTCTGGGCATGTTCGGGAATACCCTGCTTCTCGTCATTATCGGAAATTCTCAAGAAATTGTCATAAGATATTATAACTATTTTTATTATGGTTTATGCACGCCGAAGCAGTTTCGTCGACGTCGATATACAATGTAGTTTCCACAGGTCAAGCCTTGACCGCCTTGACCATATTACTTGGCAGTACATTCGACACAAGTAGTTTATGACTTTCGACATCAAATAACTTCAGTTCATATATCGAAAAAATGTTTAAATGTGTGCACACCTTAACTAGACGGATCATTGATTTTATGAATAATGATCTATTTTTAGTAAACGATTTGGTTTGTTGGCAACCTAATTGAGCATTACCCTTGACGACCAGTGAATTAAGCACACGTGTAGGCCTACATACATTACACACACACACACACACACACACA